CGGATCTACGCAATGCTCTGCGCCGCGATTTCGGTCAAACGATTTTCCGGCATGGCCGCTACACGCAATTACACACGCGTGCAATATTCACAGGCAAGATAGAAAAGAATTTTGAAAAGAAATTCCTCGAAATTATTTTCGCCACGTCACGCCTCGATCCTGTCTTCCTACAATGCGGACTGTCGATTTAGAATCGTACATTGGAAACATTGCATTTTTAACCAGAGAACCGTAAATTCCCCAACTAGAATCCGGAATTATTTGAGGAAATCGCACTGGACTCCAATTAGATCTCAATTGGACCGAGACATTTTTTATTCGAGTATTTTTAACGAGCCTCGTATTTTTGGCGTGTCCGTTTATTTCATATTGCACGTTAAATCACGTCGCCGCTTCTTGATTTCAGGTGCAATGAAAATTGGCTTTGAGCCCGAGCGCGGTTCGTTTACATGAATTTTTTATGTTGTTGAAGTTTTCCTCGCTACTGTAGCATTTTGCGCTGCGCGACCGTAAACGTGAGCGTGACGACGGCACCCTCTGAAAACCGTAATTAGCCGGGCCGCAGTAAAGCAAACATTGACTGCTGATCGTTCCTCGCTGCGGATAAACTTGTCGGGAAATCCCACGCCGACGCGGTCGTTTGTCGATCACTGGTAAACACCGAGTGACCTGGTGCGGTCGGCACGATAAACCTTATTTGCATACGTCATAAAGAAAGGGAAAAAATGTGTATATACACTGCGGCTCTTTTATACGCCGGCGTGTAACAGAGGTGAAATCGATTTGCGAATAATAGTCGTCGAGCTCGGAAGTGATATCTTTTTTATGAGATATCGTGATTGAGACAAACGTGCTCTAAGTGTACATCGAAAATACCGTGAACTATGATCTTCAATGTTTCAGTAATTCAGAACCATATTCAGCAAAACGCACGGATATTTTTCTCGTTTAACCTCCTCGATTGTACTATGATCGGGGGATCCATTGGACTCAATTTTAGTTTTAGAGATGTTTTGTCGAGAGTTGTGAGCATTCGCAAAGATAGACGTTTCATGGCTTTTATTCTTTCTCTTTCAAAAAGCGAGAAGAAAATATATTTGTTCCTGTTAATAAAAATGTATATTCCATGTAAGGACAAATTTTTCATAAATTAATCCCTTGAAGAATTAATTCTCTTAATTCTTGGGATTTCTTTAATTTCTGGATTACAAATTTTCAATAATTTTATTTAATTTAGTTAATCCTTTAAAGTAGACATATCAATTTCATTGGAATAGAATGTTTTAATTTATAAGATCGCCATAAATAACAGTCTTGATGAAAACTTTTTTGTCCGAAGAAGGGTTAATATCGTGATGATACACCGAGAGTCAAATAAAATATTCACTTTGACAAAATATATAAAGGATCATCGTATTAAAAAAAAATATATATATATATCGAAAGAAAGACCACAATATTACGTTGCTTTGTCTCGTGATTCTGCCGACTATACTTTTATGTTCCGTAACGGGTCTCATAATTAGCACCTAAATGGACTAATTTCCCTATCTGTTCAACGGCGGGGATTTTTGTAATGTATGTGGAAACCGCTTTTGAGCTATCTCGGCCCCGGAAATTTATGATACACGGAAAGCGGGGCGGGAGGAGGGTGGTCGACGGACGCGCGAACAGACCGGAAGATATTTTTATTGAAAATTTGTGCGCGCGGGCTGGCGCGGCCAAGTCGCGAATGACCCGTCACATTTTCCACATTGCGGGAAAATAACCGTGTCCCGTGTCATATCCGGACCCGCGCCCTTTCGGTTTTGTTTACAGCGCGAATCCTCGACATCGAGATCGGACAAATGGCGTTGCGCCACCGACCGCCAAAAGTCACACCGGCCACTCTGCGGCGAGGCAGTTTCGACGTGGCCGCTGTAAACAATAGTCGACGGAAGCGACGACATCATCGGCCCGGATATAATTTCGTTCGGAACGCATCGAGAGTCAGGGATGCACACGCGCGTGCGCTCTATACGACCGAACCGCGCGCGAAATGCGCTCCACAGTTCACCCGTAACAATCGATAGTAAAATCGAAGTCTGCAAAATCGAAAATCCTGTCCCGAAGCGCATCCGTTAAAATCGCCGACGGACTGGTTATGAAACGGAAGTGGAACAAGACAAACTCACTGCTGCTACTATTGTTACCGTTACCACCGCAGCTGTAATACGCGACAACGTAGAGTTCGAGTTACCGTTTTTAAAAAGATACACCACGTGATACCGGCAGTGTGCTTTTTTTTCCTAATATCGGATTCCTCGTCGAAATTGTAATCGATTTCGGTCGAAAATCCGAACCCAACCTTTTTCCCTCTCTTCCTCCTTCCCTCCCACCTCCCCTCCTCTCTCTCACTCCCTCTCTTTTCATATTTTTTTCAGCACCTAGATACTTTCATGATTAAGAAAAATGTTTATTACGATATCAAACACCGATGGTGGTTCCAAGCAAAGAATATTATCAAACGTTACTCGTTATTGCGTTTCGCGCCTCCTCGATTTCGCGTGGAATCCCTTATCAAAAAGAACCGAGCATCTAGAAGAAATTGGAGAATCTGTTTTAATCGGACGAGGCAAACGAAAAAGATACGCTTCAACGCGAACGTTTGTTCGCTCGGACGTCTCTGAAGCGAATGAACGCCTCTCGAAAGAATCTCTCCGCCGGTGGGACGCGCAAACAGAAAAAGAAACGTCGTAACGAGGAGCGATCCCCGGTGTAGAAGAAACTCGCGCGAGTCGGGCGGGATCCGCGGAACCGGAAATGGTCGCCGCAGCGCTTCCGCTTCGCGGCTGCAAAAAGAGCGGGCTGCGAAAAACGCGCTCCTTCATCGCTTCCTTTCGATCGCGGCACACGGACGACGTCGTTCGCTCCACCGACACTGTTTCACGCGCGACGGCGAAAATGGAGAGCTGTGAGGCGGAGGACGGGGGGGGAGAGCTCGAAGAAAGCTGTCTTCTTCTTCTTCTTCTAACACTATTGCCGCCGCTCGGATCGCCGAGCGCTCCGAAGGAGAGAGACCGTCCGTCGCACCGTAGGGCCGGCGAGAATTTGGCGATTTCTTCGCCGGGGATCAACTCGTCTGCTATATTAATGACCGCGCGCGGCACGGATTATCCGTCGGGATTTCCCGCGCGCGCGCTGTTCCGCTTCCTCCGGCGAGCTGCCCCGTGAAATTGATTGCGCTTCGCCGCGCGAGAAACGTCGGAAAAAGATGGAAGGAAGACGGAAATTCGACCGCGTCGAATGATAATTAAGGATGTATTCTGCTTTGGGTTTGTGTCCCGAAATTCACCGCCAACGCTGAAAATCTATAGCTCACGTTACGTATTACGTAACGATTACGAACACTTGATGTATGTATTTCTGTTTCTTAAATTTTTTTGGTTTCTTCTGATTTTTTTCAAAAAGTAGCGGGTAAATCTATATTTATGTTCTTAAATAATAATAAATAATAGAACAGTCGATAATATGCTATATTTTGTTAATAATAGCGACTTTTAATTGAGGTCTAAATGACTTTAGGTGACTATACCCGGGTTAAACTCCATTCAGTGTGGCACGTTATTTACTTTCAGTCGGATCTATACATTTCCCTTTCAAGGCGATTATACGCGCGACGTTACATCGTCGATGAAGTCGAAGCAAAAAATAACGGAAGGGACGATAAGTCCCTCAAGATTCGAAGGAGAGGAAGTGAAAGACCGAAAGAATTTATTTGCTCCTGCGCGTGCGAGAAAGAGAGAAAGAAAGAGAGACCCGCGCGCCAGCCACTAATTATTTTTGCCGAGTAATTCCGTCGTAATTGGCGTTCTCCCATCGGAGGATGCTTGCCTCGTGACGGCTCCGTTGGGAGGGAAAAAAATAGTAAACTTCCATGTGTGGGGCGACGCGTTAGAACGAAACCGACGACACGACCGACACCCGCGGCGATCGAAACTCACCGAGGAACGGTGTGCAGTTGGCAGTATGTAGTTCCATGTATGTACGAATCGGTCTTCATTCGAATGAACGTGGGAGGGGAGAGGGGCGATAAACAGAAACCGCCGGTCGTAAACCCCGACTGCATCGGAGCGGAGATTTCATCCCCCTCGTTCTCGACGATTTCTTCAGGAGTGAGCGTACGCTCGGCCGGCTTCTCCGCTTCTTCCGCAGCGTGGCGGCGGAAACGCGGCCGGTGCTTAAGTAGAATTAACAATTAACGACGCGGCGGCGCGACGTGGTGCTTTTCAGCGAGCGCTATCAAGCGCCGCTCGCGACTCGTTCCGAAAGGAAAGCCACCATTGTCCGAAAATTGTTGTCTATTGTTAACTCCCAGCCGTGCAGCGCTCCGCGAAGTCGATTAAATGGCGGAGCCCTCGGCTCTAAGGAGACTTGGTGGGATTACTCGGAGCGAGCCATTTTTAACCGGATGGAAAAAGCATACCGATTACCATGATAAAGTCGTTTAACGCGGCCGGGGCTCTCCGCTCAAGGAAAATGCGAGTGAGAAAGAAAACCACCCGTCGACGTACGATCGTTGCCTCGAGTCGGCTTGGGATATTATTTAATACTTCGATTTAATATGTTCACGCAGACGACGAGTCGTCTCGAACTAAATTCAGTAAGGTCTGAAAGATACTTGTTCTTTCGTCTATATTATAAAATATTTTTTTTCTTCCTAGATATTTTCTAGCAATATGCGTATGAGGTTATTGTCACTAACACTCTGTAGTGAGACTTAATACAAACAAGATTTTCCTTCATCATACCACCATAATTATGAATACAAAATATTGTTTTCGCTATATGTTCTTCGCACGAATATTATGCTATTTCGAATAGATTCAAACAAGATAGACATCTTTTGGATTCGCTCCATTAAATCTAGTTCGGCACGAATCGTCGTCTACATATAGCTATACATCGGCTTCGCGGTCGGTAACGAGAAATAAACGAGACGTTCTTTTCTCTCATTGCAGAACCCTGCGAGAAGACCTACTGTGCCTGGGGCGCGTCGTGCAGCGTGTCCGATGACGGTAAGGCTCAGTGCCAGTGTCCTGCGGATTGTCCCACAACTTCAAATCCCGTCTGCGGCTCGGACGACGTGACCTACACGAACTATTGTCACCTGCGGCAGGTCAGCTGTCAAAAAAGGAAAAACACCAGGGTGAAGCATCAAGGCGCGTGCGGTGAGTACTGCCGCTTTTTAAACGCAACACGCGAGCTAGCAGGTCCGGAGAAACGTTATCGCTTAGAACTGACGATGAGATCGCGCGATCTGTCGTCGGATACAGGATTTGTTGTCTGTGCATTCTTGAACGGGAAAGATCTCTCTGCGCGGAATTTCTCAGGACCTATCGCGTTTTCCTTCGCTCGCGCGTCTCTCTTTTTCTCGATCCGATTTTTTATTAGATTCCGTCGAATCAACGCGACATCGTTCTTCGTTTAATTTCGTATCTGGGATTTATTGAAACGGATTTGAGGAGATTTCGAGAGTCGTACGGTTGATTCGTTGATTTCTCGAAATAAATCCATCTCTCTCTTTTTCGTTCATCGTCGTGGGAAATATAATCAACTTTTATTCCGCGACATTTCTTCGCTATTTGTGATATGCATCGCGAGATATGAATCGTATATTGTTTATGCAATCTCTCTTCTCTTTCTCTTTTGCCGTCATTCTTGGTAAGAATACCGACAGCAAATTTACTTTACACGCTACACATACATCGCCGTGACGATAATGTTTCGCTGGATTCTCGCAAATGCCACGGCATATTATTCGCTTGAATATCGCCTGCCCCGAGAAGAAGGAAGGCGGTTCTCGACGTGCCAGATATGCATGACGACCGGAGAATTGTCCTAGAAATATAAACGAGGTTACTTGAAATTGAACGTAAGTCGGTTTTCCGCAAGATTTAATTTCGCCGATTAGTCGCGCAACCGTTTCGCCTTAGCGCGAGACTACGAATAAAAAAAAATTACAAAGGCAAAGAATACACCAAATAGTTAAGAACGTTAACGACATGAACTATTGCTAGCAATGAAAAAGAATAAACATGCAGGTGGAAAATTATTATTGTCGACTTAACAACACAAGGATCTCTATCTTTCTCTCTCTCTCTCTCTATGACGCACACGGGAGGTCACTACTTATCACGAGAGCCCCCATTACGTCGCGCATCACTCGTCCAGGGTTAAGCGGTGACAAAGCCAAGCTAAAACTTTCAAGATCTCAGACTGCTCGGCAGATCCGCGGGGTCACGGTGCTTGAAGCCTTTTAAACTTTAATTCGCCCAGCACGCTCGCCGATCTCTCTTCCTTCAGTCCGCGAAATATCTCAGAACTAAACGCGAGCCAGCCGGCAAAAAATCGAGCCTGGCATCTCCGGAGGAGTGGAGGAGGAGGAGCAGGAACAGGAGGCGAGAGAGCAAGAGGAAAAGAGAGGAGACGAGATGAGAAGAGGGACTCGCTCGCGCTTACGTACATACATACGTACGTACACGTACGTGAAAGCCGCAGGGAGACAGGACTCGTACCTCGAAACGTACTTTATCACTCTCCGCTCTCTTTTTGCCCGTCTATCCCCCGGGATCCCCGGGCTGCCATGAATTAACCAGCATCCGATACGCGATTTTTGCTCCCGCCCCGCCACGATCTCGCGCGAGCGAGCGAGCGCGCGCGCGCGCGCGGCGGCCGATGCGCGCTGATTCTCAAAACGATCTTTTATTCAGTTCGAAGCTGCACGCGCTTGTTGTACGTCTGCACGTTCTTCCCTCTCGTGTGTGTATCGCGGCGGCGCTCCTTTTGAACCATCCGCCGACCTGGAGAAACACTTCGCGATCGCGCGCGCGCGCTCGCCTCGCTAGGCGCGCGGGTGTTACGCAAATGGAATGCGTTAGCCCGGTGCGCTCGGTCCCGGGGGCATCCAGCATGTTTCATGGAAATTACGGCGATAACGCGCGCCCCGACAGCGTCCCTGCGTCGATGCAAATTCTTCCGACGTCCCGCAATTGCGGCGGATCCGCAGCGGGCGCGTGGATTTCGCGGCGATGCGTGCGGGGGCCGCGTGTGCGTAGGGCGAGGGGGTATTGCTTTGATCTTTGAATTCGAACGGGACCGCCGTCGTACCGCCCCGGGTGCGAGATAAGTGTTCTAACCCTCGACGATTATCATATTGATCGCGCCTCGACGGCGATGACGTCGACGGCGAGCTCGGAGGAACGACCTAATGATTTCTTTGTTTTTTCTTTTTTGTCGTTTTCTCCGCACGCGGTCGTGCGATTTCTCGAATTTGGCGATTTTGATTAATGTCCGGCGGGGGCGGCAGCGGCGTGAGTTCCCCTTTGAAAATGTCACAAAGGCCCCCATTTTCCGGGTCATTGTCTTCACGCCGGCCGGGGGTGTACTCGGACGAGCCGGTTGCTTCAAGTTTCCCGCGGGAGGAGGTGATTCAGCCGTTTCGTGAGTTCTACTTAACGTCCCCGTCCCATCCTTCCTTACACGGACGGCTCCAATTAATCGCGCCGAAGACGCCGTATCTGAAAGACTGGACAATGAGGCGCAAGGTCATGAAAGCTCAAGTGCCCATCCGACGTTAAAAGGAAGTGCGAAGCTGCAAGGTCGTGAAACCTTCCATCCGACTGGCGCACAATGCGCCATCCACGCGGAACGTCTTGAGATTCCACTTCGTTAGCCCCGGATCTTCCCTTGAAATATGCGAGCGCGTGCGCGCCGTCACGTCGAATCGAAGCGATCCATCTTGCGGGAATTTCCCGAAAAAAAGGAGAAAAAGAGGCGAGCAAGAAAGATCAGACGCGGATCGTCGCACGCGTTCCGACCGCAAAGAAGGCCGGCAAGAGCGTCCGAGGATCCTCGTTCTCTCGAAGGGGTTGTAAGGCGAAATGAGTTTGATAAGAATTCGATGAAAGACATGCACTACGTATATCAGATCGTTTTCCCCGTGTAAAGAGTGAAAGTGCAACCGATTCTTGAACAGTTCGCCTTGGGCAATCCTGCGCACGCGTCGGCGACAAATGAAGAAAGAGGGAAGTAGACGTAATGATAGAGTAAACAGCTACGGAGAAAGACGGAGATATTATTCAGGGACGAGGCGGAAATGTCGCGTGGCAACTGCGTCGTCTCCTAGACGACTCTCCGGCGAGCACACGTATTCTTCGCGTATTCTTCGTTGCTCTCGCTGGATTTCTCCTCGTGTCGCTCTTCTCGCGTTGCTTTGCTCTATATTTACTCTCTCCCCCCCCCCTTCTTTCCCCTTTCTATCTATCTATCTTTTTCTCGCTCTATTTCTCTCTCTCTTCCTCCCGCACCTTCTATCTGATCTCCTCCGCTCCTATTTCACACGCGACATGTATAGAACATTTCTTATTCGCGTCACCACCCACCCTTCATGCCGGCAGTCATCCTACAAGCAAGCCGGCACGTAAATTATTATGCGAACAAACAATGCGAAACGAGCGTTCCAACGTCCCATAAAACAGCGCGAATCCCCAGTGGTTTTCGTGCGCGCGGCTCGGCATCCCGCTCGAACAACTCTCCCGCGACTTGCCGCCACCTCTTCTCCTCCTTCTCCTCTTCCTCTCGCTGCTCCTTCTTCTCCATGTTCGTTTAGAACCTCGATCGCAGTGGGATGAGATATCCGCGAATTCCTTCACTAAGGGTATTACCGCGGTTCCGGATCAATCCTCCGATAGCACGGCGCGTCGTGAGACGTTCATCGCGCCACCGAGACCAGGTGTTCCTCGAACAAACTCGGTTCTTACGTTGCGCGAACGCGAATTAAGCTCGCTGAAAATTTTCATCAACCGAGGAAACCAGCAGATTACGTTAATTGTAGAGCGATAACTCAAATAGGAAATAACTACTTGCGAGGTATTGGCTCAGTACCGATTTTTGATGATTATCATTGCTGTATAATTGTTAACACAATAACGATTTTAAAAGGAAATGTGAAAATAGGGTCGGAGGATGCTTGTTCGTACCTGCGGATTTTTAATGTACCGTTTTTAATGTCATGTGAGGCAGAAAGAATTAAACGTCCGCTAGATATTAGCGCGATTTGAAAATTACAACTCAGTCTTTCTCGTTCAAGCCGACGCTCGCGTTTCTTTCGCGATGTTTATAAAAAAAAAAAAAAAAAAAAAAGCGGAAAAGAGAAAAAGAAGCGAACAGCCTGTCGCGTCGTTGCGAGGCTGCGAGAAACTCCGTATACTCGTCATTAATCAGCTCATCCGATCATGGACGGGTCCGGAGGAAGCGAGCGACAAAGGCGGGGTGAGTCGTATAGATGAAGGAGCGCGCAGGCAGGATGAATGATAAGCGCCGTCTTAAGCGAGCTTCCGACCCCTCGTACTTTTGCCGACTGAAGGAACAGAAAGCTCCTCTCGCTCTCTCTCTCTCTCTTTCTACCTCGCTTTATCTGCTTATTTCAGGCTTCGCGACGAGGCCCCCCCCCTCCTCGGTCCTCGTCGGTTGCTTAGTCTATATTCACGATGGCAGTCTATAATTTAGTCGTTGCAGGACTCGCGCGCGCGTGCCAACCTCCAAAGGGATCAAGGCAACGCCCTATATAATTCAATTCGCGCGGAAACAGAGATAGTACCGACTCGCCGTAAAATCGGTGAATAAATTAAATGCATCCTCGAACGGCCACCGTTACTGTTTAAACGCGGCCTTTTTATACGTCCGCGAAATCTGTTGAAACACTTTGCGCGTCGTACTGATCGCACTGGCGAGAAGTTGTATATTTTATTCAGCGATAAAAACAGAAATATCCCGCCTGATAGAATAGTATATAATAGTATCCCGCGATCGGGAAAGGAATATGCGCTGCACACATATAAAAAGTCTCGCGCATCGTAAGAGGAACCGAAGTTAGTCGTTCAGAAATATCTTATAAAACGATCCTGAGTAAAGCAATTCATCATAGCTTGCTTCGCCTCACGTCGCGCTCGCGCGCGCAGTCTCAACCACAAATATCCGACACATTTAAATTTGAAAATGTGCCACGTCCGCCTGAATAAAATTGCATCTTATATTAACTCGTGCCGCTCGCACCTCCATAACCGCATCCATAAATTCAGCCGGATTTTTCCTGCTTTTCCAAATGCAACCGTGAAACATTTTGTCAACGAGCTGAATCCGCCGCATTCGCCGTGTCGGACTGTAAGTAGACTACATCGCTTTGCAGCGTTTTGCGAGTCGAACGAGGCAAATTTGGATAGTTAAGAGTTTGAGGATGTGAAATTAAATTAAACGCGGAAACGGAGTTAATTAAATTTCCAGCACATTGTTATTTGCATTTGGTGCGTGCACAACCTGAGTCGGAATTTTGATTCCACGTTACAGTTCTACGCAGAAAAAAAGACTCAAGTAAATAATCGCTCCAATATTCCTTGGCAAATTTTTACTTGCATCAAATAATATTTACCTAATTCAAATAAAATATTTTCCAAGTAAGTTATCCAAATAAAATATATTTCCTTGATCCAAGTAAAATTTATTTAATCCGAGTAAAAATTTGCTAAGGAATTATTTACTTGAATCTCGCATTTTTTTTCTGTGTACAGTTTCCGATTTGAAGGACCAAAAGGAAAACTTGAGATATAACGTCATATTCTAGAAGTAAAATGTACGTGATAAACAAATATTAGATAATTAATATTGATAGATAATTTATACGATTAATGGACAAATGAAACAATAGATTTTGTCTCTTCATAATCTCTTATTATTTATTTCTTCCATCGGTATATTGATAATGTGTTTATATGAAATATGTGTTGAAATATATGATATATCGCCGATCGCGCGTGTAACCGGGCGTCCTCTGTCCCCCTTGCTGGCTTACAGTATTTTGTTTCTGGCTGCTCCGTCATGATCCTCACCCCAGATTTTGGTACGTAGCGCTAACATTCGCGTGGATACAATTCGATCGGATAAATGTATGTTAATTAACACCATGCCGACAAGAGTTCGATGAAATATTTCACGTAAAAGAGAAATGAAATATTTTATATAATAATATATGTAATATAATATTTGGCTACGGAAAGCACGCGTCGCGCAACAACAGCGAGACGATGGACAAGAAATACGAACTTGTTTTTTCCCATCAGAAGTCACAACAGTCACCTCCTGACACTGACAAGTGATCTGTGATCTTTCGTTCAACAGTTTTGTAATTTTTTTTTATCACAATTGACAAAATACTTTTCCATGTGTAAGATAAAACGGCAGTAAGCAATCATTTGCAGCAGCAAGGTAAGGCGATATCTCGTTTGGTATTTTTTATCTCAAAATACGTCAGTTAGTTTTCAAGTTCAATGGAAATTGCAGGATTAATGCGGAACCAAAAATTCGACTCGAAAATTCTCGTGTGCGCGTGTGACGGCTATTTTTACTCTATCGGATTGAAACGTTCAGATGTGTATTCACGTTTACGAGAAAATTGCTCGATATTGTAGTTATGCAAACAATATTAGCACGCCAAATAGTACTAATAGCGTTAAAAAAAGAGGGATACCGCCGTATCAGATGTCCGTTTGTGTTCCACGAGCGTAATCACGTCCTTTAGTCCCCCCGGTCGTGGAAAATACGCGCATCACGCCCCTCGCGACAGCGGTGATAAAATTAAGGTACATCAGAAGAACGTGAGAAACAATGAGAGCTCGTCCCCCGCCATTCGCCTGTTTCCCCCAATTACCGCGGCCCCATCCTTTCCTCCCTCGCGACGGTATCCGCTGCGGAACGAAAATGGCGTGGAATTAAATTAATTTTATCGGCTTAAGCGGGCCCTTTTCCGACCCGGATGCCACCGTCTAATCCCTGCTCTTCCGACTCGTGTCACGCCACCGGAAACACATCCCCGTCGCTCCGCTTTCTTACCTCACGCCCGAGACTTAAAAGGATATCCTGGTAGAGTTGCTTGAGAAACACAACTGAAATTTTTCTCCGCGCTCACTTCATACAATTTTTCCGAATCAAAATCAAAGTTAGTTAATTTAGTTTCGTTTCGATTGTTAGTCTTGTTTCGATTTTTAGGTCATACTTATTTAGTGCCACTACAGACTTGGAGCACGCTCCGATTAATTTCTACCCGGGGTGTTAGAGTTAAAAAACCAAAATGTTGGCGGTATTACGCGTATTCTCTCTATTTCTTTCCCTCCTCGACCCCTCCTCTCTCTTTCTCTCTTTCTTTCTCTATTCATCGTCTGGTTTTCAGATGTTCCGAGCGAACTCGGAAGGTCGTCCGACGAGGACTCAATCTCCTTAACTCCTTCTTATTAGTGCATTTAATTTTCCAATGTATCGACCTGTCGCACAGGCGGAAAATTTATAGAGGACAATTTTCTCACGGGTGCTTTCTTCTGGGCGAGAGAGGCGCGTCTCGGGTCGCCTTCGCCGTCGCGAAGTTGCGAGCTAATTCGTTCGTGCTGAATAGAACTTCTCCAATTAATACACTCTCGTTCCAATATACGTAATTACTTCCTATCGGTTCTCATAAAAGTTACCGGTCTCGCGCAGTTATTCAAATTAGATCTTAATCCCGCTACCGCCGCCCTAACTCTCGAACGGCTCTCAATATCGCTGGCAGAAAGTAAGCCGAGGGACGCTCGGAGAGAGGAATCATCGGTAATCGGCGGATTATCTTCTTTTTTTCCTGCCGTCTTTTTTTCCCAAAGCTGCGAAGCCGGCGGGAACGAAATCGCGTCAGTTGCCGGCTCGGGCGTAATTAAATTAATCATTATCCACCTCGTCGGCACACCTCATTACACCGGCGATCCAGCGCCCGGCGAGACCTCGAGACCTCGAGTTTCCGACCGAAACTTCGGCCGATGATGATGAACGAGCGATGTACTCGTCTGCGGGTCGCAGCCGCGCTCCGCCGACCGATCAAAGTCGAATGCGCAATTCCGCGCGTTTTTCGACCGTGCAGCGCGACACGAGGATCGAGCGAGGACGACACAAAAAGGGCGCTTTTTATGGCTTTTAAAATGAAGCCCTGTCCGCTGGACGCGCATTTGGGCCACCGGAGTGCAGTTTTTGCCGTGGGGCGCCGTCTGCGCTGTCGGTGCTAAACGATTCTCGCGAGTGCCACGTGGTGAACGTTTTGCGATAACCGCGTCAAAACGGAAACGAGGAAATTAACTTCGCCGCCCGAGAATCGATCATTATGTCGAATAAATCGTTTTTAATACGTACTCGCAAGAAAACGTTGATCTTTTAGCGTCCTCCCCTCTCCTCCTAGGAAAAGGACTCCCTGCGGGGCGAGAATCGTAATTCGCGTGGGTGAGAGGTTTAAGTAATTTGGATTAACAGACTTTTGTCTTGAAACGATCTATTAAAATTTGTCGTGTCATTACATTTTAACATGGGGAATATCTGTTAAGAATCCGTCATCTTCTGAGGAAATCGCACTGAATCCCAATTGGATCCCGGGAAACGGAAACGTCCTATTTGGATATCGGAACGTTTCAAATATCATTTCGGGCATTTTAGCAGGATACATCTTTCTCGTCTCCGGCTGTACTTACAGCAGCTTACTCTCTTTCCCTCTCTCTCGAATCTATCCGGAATATCGCTCGTGTATTTTTCACTCGCCTATAACGCATTCCGTCGCGTCGCGCGCGATTTTTCTGCGATCATCCGGAAGAAGAAAAAAGAAAGCGTGGCAGAGAGGAGAGGAGAGCGAAACAGGGTGCGCACGGACGAAATAAATAAATCCGCGCGCAATTCCCGTCGTCGTTGACGCCGCTTCGGTTCCACCGTCGAAGCGAGCTAAGGGGGATGCGTAATGTTGCTGCTCGCGAACGTCGCGTCGTCGCCCGGCAGACGAGAGTGCCGCCGCCGTGGAGGTTAGCGCAGCGCGACTTCCCGATTCTTCGCATACATCTTCATTCCGTGAAATGGCTCCGCCCCCCGGTTCCGTTTCGTCTCAGCAAACCCACTCGAGCCGTTTCGACCCTCCCGAGATACGCGTACGATTCGGCAAACTGCCATTCGCGGCGGAACCCTTTCGAGGGTTCACCAGTAATGATTCTCAAACCTGCTTACCGTTTCCCGAGCGAGGAGAGATATATTTACGGTAAACCCCGGGAACGACGACGGAAGGCTAACAAGCCGCCGAGCCGAAGGCTGTTTCGCCGAGGGCTCACGATAACGCGCGCGAATAAGGAGAGCACGCACGCGTCGATGATATCGAAGCACGGTAGTCCCGATTATACCCGACGCATCGCGTACGTTTAGTCGTCGGTATCGAGCGCGCCGGTATTACAAATATCGCGGGCGCGATTGCGCGGAAAACGCCGGCGGACCATTTACAAGGTGGAATTTAATGCACGCGAAATTCAAACGAGTGCCGCGTAGAGAGGGAGAGAGAGGGGGAGACGGTGCCCCCGGTATCGCTTGTAATAAAGTATAATTGCTATTCCGATAGCCGAGCGGCCGCTGTTCAATTGATTTATTCATCAGAGAGAAACGCCCGTATGCACGTGTGTGTGTGTGTGTGTATGTGCGCACGCGTACGCACGTATGGCATGTGCAGAAAAATTATAGTTGGCATTAATGTCGGGAAAACATAGCTCGATACATTCGTACTCGACGAGCACTTAAGTTAATGAAAGGTTGAAATTCCATCGGCGATAATTCAGCGCGCGGCCTCAGCCGATGATGCTGGCCAGCGATGTCCGGCGACGCCGCGCCGATCCGTAGGGTGGAGTTACGTAATAATCCTCATCATCGTCCTTCCCGGACAATTACGAGGATGATTAATTCTAACGATTATTAAAGTGCAGTGGAATGCCGCGGTGGAATGAACAGTGCGTCGCGTTCGCGTGGCGCCTCGTTATCACTCGGAGTGAGCCGCCGGCGATAAGTGTACTGACCTGTCTCGCGTTGCCCGGCGCGATGCTCGTGATACACTGGCGCGCGCGTTAACAGTCGTCACTTGAGACCTGTCTCACGGGAGACGCTCGGCTAGGAATTTCCAATTGATCTTGACATGTGTCGCTCATATTTTAAAATTATGAAAAAATTTATCTACGTTGCATTTAAGAGTGATGTGGAAAGTCATCGCACGCGCAAGGATACTCTGAAACGTTTAACACGAAATTCGCCGGCTTTACTGTGAGACCAACTGTATTATTTTTCTCTGTTCTCTGAATTTCTATCTCTCGCAGGGGCAAATTCAAGCTCGAAATTATGGAACATATATCGCCGTGTTATTGATTTTCCGCGCTGGTCGTTTTTAAACGACCCTAATAGAGTAATCGAATAATATATTAATTGTATCTATTAACGATTATTATCCTATCATATCACCCACATTAATTATCGCCATCGCCGTAATTACTATGAATATTCGTTTGCCTGGTGCGATTGTTACATCACTGCGCTCGTCACAGTCGATTAACCGATGGCGCAATTAAGATTATGTAATTTATCCGAGAAAGTGTTTCTGATGTGATAACTCCGCGGACTCCGCTGTACGATAATTAATTAATTTGTTTTATGCTACATTAGCGTCCTCCTCGTCGTCGTCGTCCGCGACGACGGCGGAGGATGTATTTCGAGCATCGACGACGGCACGGTGGCGCCTCATCTCGCGATAATTTACACGCA